CTTTACCTTCTTGCTTACATAATAGAGAGAACAAAATGGCGAGAGCACAGGATTTGAAGATATAAAACTGCTATGGTATGAAAGAGCTGCCCAAGTATCTCAAATTGGTCACCCTGGTTGTCAGGTACCAAAAATAAGTAAATTATCTGGAGAAACTCAGGTCTTACATAAGAGATACATAGCAAGCATTCTGCTCAGAAACTGCCACCATAAAAAGGACAAGAATGTAATCATATGTTCAAGGCAAGGTTTTTATGAATAACTGAGAACAGATGTGAAAGCACAAGCACAGGAAAAGAGCACCTAATTAGCTAATTGAAAAACGCATCCTCAGGCATATAAAATCCAAGTTCGACAAGCAGTCCTAAGCTGACATATCTCAATTTTTCAGTGCTTTAAAACTGCCAAAATAGAAGCATATGCCATCACAGTATATAAACACATTCTGTAATCATACATAGAATTGTGGAATATTCTGGATTGGCAGGGCCTTTCTAAAGGATGTCTAGTCCAACTCCCACTAATGTGAGTGGACATCTTCAACTAGATCAAACTGCTCAGAGCCCCATCCAGTCTGACACTGAACGTTTCCAGGGGTTAGGCACGCACCACCTCCCTGAGGAACCTGTCCCAGTGTTCCACCACCCTCATCATAAAAAATTGGTTTTCTCTGGTTTGAATCTACCCTCTTTTAGTTTAAAACCATTACCAGTCAACCCTATCCTACCCCATACCTACGTTCAAAATATCTACTGGAACTCTGGTGTTCCAGAGTAGCAACAACACTGTATATACACTTACATTCTACTGGTAATTTGGAATTTTTTTTCAAGCTCTACAATGTACTGTTAGAAAGTCAACAGAAGCATATTTAACTGCATGTATCACATCTGGGGCAAATTATTTTGAGCTTCCAAAAATTCACTTATAAGTAAGAGCTACAAACATAAGGAATAGAAATATTATTAGTATTACATGGTCTAAAATTAAAATAAAATATTTTACTTCTTAGCTGTTTTGTTGATTTTAAAAAATACAGTCTCTGAAAAATTACTTCAGCCTAATTCAAGAAATCTTAGTTTATACCAAAAAAGGCTATTTCTAGTTTACAGCCTTCTAAAAGCAGACAGTTGGTTTTAGTCAGCTGATTTCAACTGAAAATAAATACCTGGTTTTTTCTGTATAGTTACACAAAATAAATGTCTCTTCTGAAGCTTAAAAAGCTATCAATTGTCTACAAAACTATCACTTGTTATTTACAGTATTCTGTACTGTATTCAGTATAACCTTTTTCTACCATTTCAATCATTGTTAAATCATTGCTAAAAATACACCCCACCATTCACAAGAGACATGGCAGACAATTAATGCTGACCAGCACCCCACAAGAAGCATAGCTTAGCAGTCTCCTCATGAGCACTTTGATTATATTAAACATTAAGAGCTGACATTTCAACTGCTTAAATTAAATGGCTCAGAGATGGACTGGTACTTAAAACTGACTGCTACCCCTTAAGGATCCAGGATCTTCAGGCCATTTTTTTGTCCCTCCTATATAACTGACATATAAACATTATTATGTCCTTGATAATGACTATACAATGTGTCAACTCTTAAGTGTAAAATTCCAACACAGGAGTATGTTTTGGTTATATGTAACTCATAGCTCTGTAGCTAATCTTTATTAAAAAATAAAAATGAGGCATTACTTATCAATTTTTCCTGCACCTTTAACGCTCCCAGCACAGGTGAACAGGCCCAAAGCTGCTGCTTGTTGCAGTATTTGCTAAAGCTGTGTGCAAAGGCATGCATCCCTATGTTCAGAACAGGTATCTCATACAGAGATCTGGGGCAGCAACAGAAGCGAGGTGAAAAAAAAGTTCGTCATTAACACCCTTTTGCAAACAGGACAAATTTTTGACTAGGAGGTAAGAAAATAGTTCTCACTGCAGAAAAAAATCTGCTACTTGCTAAATAATTTTGCCTAAAAAGTCAAAGCCACAGTGAATTTAAGTCCAAAGAAGCAAAAGTCAGGAAAAGGAAAGCAAGGATGCCACCTATGATTAATTTCAGAAAATTGAACCAGAAATAAGGGAGAATTTAAAAATTACTCAAATTACAGTAACAGTTTCAATCCAGGCTTCAAAACAAAGGACTAAATTGAATGTTGAAAACATTAAATTGCCAAATCAGTTGCAAACTGAAGACCCTTATTAAAAATATCACAGGATTCCAGACCCTACAGAGAGTTGGGCAAGACAACCTCAGGAGGTTCCTTACAACCTCAACTGTTCTCTAAATCTGATGCTGCTTGAGAGCATCAACATTGAACTCAATTCTTAGCCAGTATTTGGAGTCTGGGGACTTTCCCATGCTCCTCAGTATTTTATGTGGATGTTGTTAATATGAGTGAGTGTTAAAGAGAGCAAATGCTTAAGGAAGTAACTGTTTACCCTCTCTCATTTATCATCGCTGCTTCAGGACTGCAGAATGGCTTGTAAAGATAGATAAAGAAATCGGTGACCTTAAAATGCAGCACTGAGATAGATCACTGAAGTTTAAAAGGCTTGAGAAGGAAAAGGAGTTCTTATATGGAGAATGCTCTATTTCTGAATTATTAATTTGGCACTAAGCAGTAATTGCCTGTATTAATTTTAAAAACTAATAAACAACTTATGATAATATTATTATAATAATATAATTAAAATAATAATTAAATGACAATTTATTAATTCAAAATTTTAGGAATGAAACAGCACTCCAAAGTATTAATCCATTTTTGCCATAGCTGCTCACAGCCAATCTGCCTTCTAGCTAAACTTCACAAAATAAGGTTGCAATGCAGGTCACAAAGAAAACTAGTGGTGCAAAAAGGCGCAGAATAATTCTGCAGAGGGCAGACTTCCCAGTTCTACTATACAACATAGGTAACTTAGGGAAAAGTGTATACTTCAGTGTAAAGATGGTCCTACTCAGACCATCTTAAGATTCAAATGCAACAAATGCTGAATTCTAAACAGCACAAGCTCCTGACAGGAGAATGACTGCAGAGCAGTGCAAAAACTGATATGCTTCTCAGAGTATTCAAATGGATATAGCTTTCCAAGAACACTGGAAAAAAATCCCTTTTAAATTATCACATCCCTTCTGTGTTAAGTCTGCAGGACAGCATGTGCTTTCAATCAACTTTTTCTACCATTCCTTTTCCTTTCTGCAGTTCAGAAAAATAAATTTCTTCTCTCTAAAGCCAGACTTTAGAATAAACATGTATTAGCAGTAGCACAAGAGGCTTTTACTTTTAGTATTTGCTATGTTTCCAACATGCTGCTCCACAAAAGAATTAGGGAAATTTGAGATCATCAAATTTATCCTCCAACTTCTCCCCCCTCCCTTCTGACCATGCTCCTCATCCAAATTATATAGTTATACACAAAGTTTTATTACGGCGCAAGATGAAGCACATAGGTGGTACATAACAAACATACTTTCAAGAACTAGTAAGGCTGTGACATACAAAAAATATGTAAACTACATTTTTCTCAATGACTGTTCAGAATCATTACTGAATACGTTAGGAGTTTGTTTGACAGAATTTCCATTTTGAATATACATAAAGATTATAAAATGAAACACATGACAAATATTCCTGAAACCCAAAGGCACTGCTGTTTATTGATATTTTTAAAATATTATGTCATGTAACAATAACAGATACATCCTGGCATTCTATTAAGTGGCAGATATCAGCAGGGAAGAAGTTTTTCTTCCTTCATAGTTTGCATTACCGCAATTTATTTTAATCAATTTATTTAGGTGCTTCCCAAGTTCACTTTCATATATTGTTCATGTGTTTCTGAGTTATATAAACCTCAGTCATGTCTTTTTATCTTAAACTAGAAATCAAGCCAATTCTCATAGTATCATAAATCATCGCTGCTACTGTCCATATATAAGCTTAAAAGTATGCATTTTTAATCTAGGCAACAGTAAAATGAGACTAGAAAGTTTAGATGTTTTGATAGACAAAGATAAGGAATTTCTGAGGGTTTTTTTTGTTTTTTGGCAAGGAAGTTAATTCTCAGCATGAGTTTTGTACTCACCTCACTTTAGCACTCAGGGCACCATCTCAGAGCCTACAAAAAATAAACTTCATGGTATGTCATCAACACAAAGCAGAAAGACACACAAACCTTAGTGATTAATGATTCACAGTGTAAGAAAAATGTGTATTTTTTTATGTCCTAAAAGGAGTGCCACTTGTAAGTACTCTGTCATGTAGGGCCATCATCAAATTAGCAGTTTTATCCAACTTGGAAGAACTTGATCGACAACACATCCTTTCCTCCATGGAGGAAACTCTAGGCAACATTTTACTTATCTTTGAAGTAATTATTCAATAACAAAAGAGTGGGGTCTTATGTTATAGCACTGGATTGCCCCTTGCTACACAGATTCATTGTTGCTTCTCAAGGAATACCTGCCCTCCCAGAAATTGAAGGATTCAGGGCTTCTTAGCAAAGCCTGATGGCTTCCAAGAAATAACTAATCCCTGGAAGACTTATAATATTCACAGCAGTAGTATCTGAGGCTGGGAAAGTTTTGTCAATGGGTAAAAGACATCAAGGCTTCTAAACATTTGGCATATTAAAAGAAATTAGTTACACTATGTTTGCAACTTCTTAAACCACTTGTGACTAAGTTGACTTAAGAAACAAGACTGCACCAAATTGCAGACAGAACTGAATTCCCATTTAGCTGAAGGTGAAAAATCCAATGATTAAAAAAACCATTGCATCATGGGTTGTTTCTCCAGCTTGCCATTTTTATGCATTAAACCTGTCCTACAGATCTGTTATTTAGACATTTGACACTGGGCTGTACTCAACTATGGTAATACTATTCTTGAAGAACAAGGCACATTAGAAAACTAATTTTAGAAAGTCAGTACATCAACCAGTAAACTTAACAACCAGGTAAGAATGCAACTTGACAAAATGACATTCTGTTTTCCACAGATCAATTGTCTTAGATTTATTTAATCAAAGATATGATACAGTTACAAGCCCATGCATTTCATAAAAACCCAAACTTAAAGTTTTTATGGAACAAAATTTTAAATAAAGCATATACAGATGTTTCTGGCTATTCAACTGGACTGGTTAGTCTAGAGAAATATTATTTGAAACGTATGAGCAGAAGCACTGAGATTTTCATGTGGTCGTTTCTTTACCTCCTCCTCTTCCACTCCACACCTGAAGACAAATCACAGCTGAATAACTATGAATTGAATCTGCAAGGCATAAGCTCATAGCTGAACTCATAAATTCACTTTCCATTGGTTACATATTTATAGTACATCCCTTTTATACTGTTATTAAAAATAAAATAAATAAGACTACATTTTAAAAATGTAGGCAGTATAACTACTAAAACATGTCACTTATGCATTTAATATGCTGACAAAATTAAAATTTCTGTCTATTTAAATTCATTTTGATGATTACAAGGTAATTCTTGTAATTCCCAAATGCTTTTGAAAATTACTACCTCTCATAGAAAATTTGGATATTTCTATGTAATGAAACCGCTGGAGAAATCATAAAGATGCAACAGATTAACATGAAATAAATATTAGAGATGGTATTTAAAAGGCACACAAATACTTCGAACACATACAGTTTCAAATCTTTATTGTTTTAAAATTCTACATGTCTTTTACAATTACAATAATTTGTTACTTAAATGACTCTTGTATGGTTAATGTACAATGAGTTTTTTCCTGAAACTCAACCATGAAATACAATTTCATCAATATGATTTTTCTAAATAGATTAATACAAGACTTCTGTTTTGTTGGGAAGAACAAGTGCTTCACCTTGAATAAACAGCACAGGTGTCTTCCCTTCAGAATCTGTGTGATCAATCCATCGAAAGTGCTTTTGAAGATTGCAGATCTAACTGTGACTGATTTTCAAAATCAGTCCACCAAATTACAAGGGTTTTTTAACATTAAAGAGCATTTTCATGTAATGAAACAAGCTGCAGTAGTTATTTTTATTCATCTACTGAGGCAAACTCACGTTGAAGAAAAATTATATGATTATCTGCATGCAATGAACACCCTCTTTAAATAGTTGATGAATTTTACACATATAAAGAATCTGTTAAAGAGTGCAAGTACTTTGATAATGATTTCACAAAAGGACATATGCTGGTAATAATGGTAACTAACATTTAACATCTAAATACAAGCTAATGTATATTTAACAGGCAATTAACATGGCAAACAAACCATGTTTCATGTGGTTGCCCTTAGAGAAAATGAACTCATTTGGTCCACACTCTTAAAGTTATCTGGGTAAAAAAATCGAAGCAGTTAGGGCCAGAGTTTTTGATGAATTTCTAAAATGTCACCTGTTAAAAAGTAAAAGCAGTACATCAATGACGTATCTTGTCACATGACCTCAGTATAAAAAGATGGCCTGGTATTTGGAGCGATGAACGAGCACTGAAGGACAAGTCAAAAAAGAATGGAGACAGAATGAACTAAAACTTTGTTGTGTTATACTTTCTTGTTCCATGGTACTGCTTTCACTCTGTAGAATTTTGTACCCAAAGGAACTTTGAATCTGTTTTGTGCCTACAAAATAAAAAACCAAAACATTAAAATGTGGAATTATTCTACTGATTTTTGTACTTTTAAGCTCAAACTGATTCCCACTACTCAGTATTCAGGAGACCCTTGGAAGTCTGGCAGGAGTCTGGACAGTGTGGATGCAAATACCCAACCCACCACTCGCTCAACTCTTCTAGCTCCCCTACTCTTGCTATTCACTGACTTAAAACAAAGGCACTTTCATCTAACTTTTTATGCAGAGAGAATTTGTCACAATTGTTAAAAATACTAAAATACACTTTCTTCTCTATTAATCATAGATGATTTCTCATTACTATTTTCTTACCTTTTTTGCCTGGCAATACTCCTTTTCCATCACTTTTCCTAGCACCCACGGTCTCCTAGATGCACCCGATGCTAAAGAGAAATGTATGCAGTATTTTGAATAAGCAGTTATAGGTACCAGGATATTACTGGTATTTTCATTAAAAGCAGAAATTTTTAAAAAAACAGTTTAAATAAACAAACAAACAAACAAACATTAAGGAAGGTCAGATTTAAACGCAACATTCTGGTGGCCCTTAGAACAACAATTTGCAGTACCTAGGCCAACACCAATTTTAACCTATTACAAATACAACTAGTGTTCTGAATTTCACTTTCACTTTCCACACTTCCCTTATGCAGGAATAGAATCAAGATATAGCTTCCTGAAGCAGTGAGACAGAGACAAATGTGTTCCTCAGGCAGTTGCTAAGTCTTGATATTTGTTTTATTGCAATTTTCTTAGATTTGAGATAAACTCTATTCAGCAATTGGTAAGGACCAGAGCAAGCTAAGTCCATCTGAAAACAGGTCAGTGAATTAAGTACTCACAGTAACATACAAACTGACATGGCTTTTACCTTATATACCTAAAAAAACAGTAAGAAAAGTCTACCATATTTCACACAGCTATGTATGCACTACTAAATGCCATAGGTAAGAATATATTACATCTGCAAGTAAGACAGGTGTTTTGCCCTTAGGTTTCACAGATCCTTCAGCAGACTCACAATCAAGTTAGGGCTTGGTGGTCTCCTGGAGAACACACAATTTTTCAAGATCTATCATCTTCCATCATAACTGCAATCTACAGTGAGTCTGCTCAGGAAAATTATTTGACAGCTTGTCATATGTAATAACATAGAAACTTTCACTGGTAAGTTAGAATTAATATAAATTTTATTTTGATGCATATTCCTAGAAGCTTTTACAAAGTTGGGAGCACAGGTGGGTTTGCAAAAAAACATGATAGTTTAAAAACATTTCCATTAATCTACTTCATGTAGAGCTCATGGTTTAGTGCAAAACTTTGTTATTTTTCCTCATTTAAAAAGATTTCAATTCAGCTAAGTTTAGATAGCTGCCAAAAAAAAAGCCAACAAAAAGCCTTGAACAGTAAGGAACAAAAAAAGTAAATCTGCCATCAACTTGAACATAAACAAAGAAATGCAGGAAGTCTTCTCTGAAAATTTAAAATAAATATGATTTCAATTTGGTGGAAAAACTATAAGCAAAAATATTGTTTGCAAACTCTCATGCACTGTTGTCTACATTTTTTAATTTATTATTTATGCTGAGTAGTTAAAGCAGCCTGATGGGAATGTTAACATACTCCGTGTGAGTACCAAATAGGCATATTCTCCCTCTTTTTTTTTTGCACCTTACTTTGAAGATGCAGATTCTTTTCCCCAGTTTTCCAAGATATTAACATCTAGGAATAAATATTACTACTCCTCTGGGGATGAGGGAGGAAGTGCAAAGAAAGCGAAAAACTTCTCCATAGGAGACTACAGATACACAGACAGTCAATTGAGTTAATCTAGAAAAAATTGGTCATCGTCTTTAAAGTTCATTTTTGGATTAAATAAACAACACTCCAAACTTTTCTGCCTGGACGTACTATGAAGACAGGCTATATTGACTTAAAAACATCTCTACTGGACAGACGAATTCTTCTTTCCTACTATTTTCTTCCTCAAAAACTACCAAGACACTTGTGAAAATTTTCAGATGCTAGAGGGAAAAAAATTATTCTTCACCTCCTGATTTTGTCACAGCAAAAATGAATACTGGTGTAATTCAGAAAACATTAATAGAAAAATCTGTGCAGGTTTTCTTTCTCAAAAGATTTTTTATATTACTCAAGTAATATATAAGCCTAATATTTATGAAGAAGCTGTCTGTAGCTTTTATATTTTATAATACTTCTTTTTCCAGCAACAATTCTACATGCAGCTGCTAAGAGACTGATAATATCTAACAAAATGTTTCAGTTAGTTTTATTTCATCTGGTTAGGGCAAGACAAGAACTTGGAGGACTTCAGGAAGGTAAGACTTCTCTTGAAATATAATACAGCACTATGCATATTCTGGATTAATAGATTTTCTTTTTCTTAGGCTTCAAGGTTACAGGTAAACAAAAAAGTAATCTAAAAAGAGCCTCAGAGAATTCTAGAAGTCCTATGAAGTAAGGAATTCAAGAAAGTCACTGACAGAGAATTCAAAAAGGCCATTTCATTGTTTATAAGAAGGTTTTATAAAATTTGATTTATGCTCAGCTGGGACTGTTCAATAGCTGATGGCTAAATTATAGTGATCTATGCACCTTTTACCACAGAGCAAGAACAGAAGAATTTTAACATTAACTATACAATTATCTTATTGCAAGCATATCCATCTGTTTATATTAAAATTAACATGTACTTACTCTCTAATTGCTATTTTTTCAGAATGTCTTGAGGATACTGATGACATACTTTGGGACATCTATAAAAAAAGAAAAGCTATAAAGTACTGGCAAGCTATGATGAAATGTACATTGCAGGTGAAAATATGACAGGATGATTTTTCATTGATTTCAAGCAGTGCCTAGTCTTGCAGATTTTATATTCACTCAGAAACCAACCATACTTCTGTGATCCTGTTCTGTAGTGGGTTTGGTTGCTTGTGGTTCAGTTTTGGTTTTTATTATTGTACTTTTTTTTAATAGCTACCTTTGATTACAAAAGTTCCTGCATAACTTCTCCCTCATTATTTAAAACCGGGAAGGACTTATTCTGGGCATACACACCTACGATAAAACTGTCCATTCTAACAAAGAAGTCACTGGCACTAGAAAAGGCTGATGGTAGAACACCAGAGATTAAACATGTTTATTACAATTAAACTCTAGACGTTGAGCTCAAGATAGTCTCTCAGTTTTTCTACGAACTGTCACAAAATCCCAAGTTTATTGTAATCAACAGGGCAGCACTCCCTGAAACAAAACTGGAGTCAGATTTACTAAGACCAACTAAAGATTCAATTCTGTAAGGTTTCGGACATACGAATTATCTCCTATATGTATATTTGCTCTTAATTCTATTTAAATTAGTAAAATACTAGCACATGGAACAACTTCAATAGGACAAACTAGGCCTAAAAATAAACATAAGTGCATACAAAGTTTCTACAAGAGCTGTGATAACAAGAAATGACAATGGGTAATTAATGCTACTTCTATCTACAAAGGAATACCTATCCCACATGCAGACAAGTAGCTGGGAAAGCTGTCCAGATGTTAATGTATCAGTTCCATCATCCTCTGGTAACCTCCTTACAACAGACAATTCATAACTGCTCCACAGAAACCCTGTCTAGAGGTCCTGCAGTTTTTCCATCCATTCCTACTTCCTGGACCATTTATACATGCTATTCAAATCCAGACTGCTCACACTTGAAGTTTAGCATGTGATTTTTCAGCTGTAACTCAGATATTGTACCCTACAGCAAATTTCCTTCCTATTGTCAATCTTGCCCCCTGCCTTCCCCAGGGGCAGTACCAGCCTGTTTGTGTTTTTTGAGCCTGAAGCCTATTCATAGCTCATTTTCTTCATTTCTTCAAAGAATGGGTCCAAATTGAATGCAGTACATCACAGAATGCTCTCAAATTCTGATGACACCTTCAGCAGTTTTCTTTATAGGATCTAACTTCAGATTTTTTCTTAATTTTTATTTTTTATTATTTTTAAGATTTTTTAGAGGCTACCTTTCTTCCTTGAAAAAGTTGCAGCTAGTGTGAAATTTGTCAAATTTGTTTAGACTGTTCACAAATGTGTTTGAGGGTTCTCCTCAGATATAAAGACCAGATATTTTCTTGCTATTTTTTCAAACCGGAATAAGTGTTAAATGAAAGCACAAAATATCTTGATTTCTGTAATTTTCCTAAACTGCCAACTTCAAGAAAAACAGAACAAACTAGAATGTTGAGAATAATTATATTGAAACCTAGTAAGGAATGTTTTATTAATACAATTGTAGTAGCCTTTATACAGAAAAAATTCTTCCCTTTCCCAATAACTTATTTACTGTAACAAAAATCCTGTAATAACATTCCAAGTATTAAAAGGAGCTCCTTTTTGTTCCTTGTAGAAGTAACCCACAAGTTCTTCTGCAAAAGCCAATGAGCTATGAAGATTTTCTTTTTCCCACATAATGCCTTCTGAGCTCCCTATCCGAAGCACCTCAACAGAAATAAACACGGGTATTGAAGTGTTGATGTATACATCAATTTTAGAAGTGCATTTAAAAGGAGGGGGACAGGGAAAGAAGGATGAAGAGACAAATAATAAACTTATCTATGTAAAAACTCACTTTATAAGTAAGGAATTTAAAAGAGATGAAGTTCCATTTAGAAATCAAATTTGAATTGCTTTAGAGACCAAAGAATTGCCAATGTCTCCTACATGGCTTTCTATTAATAGTAACAAGAATAATCCTCTATTTGTCTCATAGACAGTGTTTCTTTCATTCTATTTTACTCTAATATGACAAGAGATCAAGAGTTTGATTCAGGAAATCTACAGAGAGATTTAGAAAACTGCCTGGGTGTATTTTGAATTTTTAGTGTAAAAACTACACTCAAATAAATTCTGTGCACTTCACTGACATTCTGAATTAAAAATAATCCTTGAAAAATTATACTTTTAGATGTTTTGCAATCCTTTCTTACACCTGGTATGAAGTCTAACTTCCCACTACAGAGGTATCAGTTCCTACCAAACTTGTAGGTATCACCTGTCACTTAAAGAAAGTGTAATCTCCATGGCCAGTCCATCCAAACAATGTGCCTATAGACACACAAATTAATTTTAAGACCTCAAATTGAGACCTCCTAGCACAGATAAAGTGGGAAGAAATAAAAGGAGAAGAATTTATACTACAGGAATCAAGGGCACTCTGTCACTGAATTACTGTTCCTTTAACAGACATTTACTGTAGGCATTTCGTAAGGTGGCTGCCTGCCTGCATTTTCAGATACTAAACAGAATTACAGTTTCACACCTCACAAGGTGGAAGGTGCAGTTTTCCCAAAACAATCTGTATGTTATTGCTAACACTCCCAATTATGCTTAAAGTGCAGGCGTATTCATATTCTTGTAAACTGGCATTTAATGTACTGCTGCTGAAAACTGAGGCATGGTGCCCTAGAAATTAACACCCTGTTACCCCAACTCTGGATGGTCTGTTTTCTTTGGGAAGAAATCACTCTTCAGTCCTGTGAATCTTCTTCCATGAGAACACTAAGCTCATGTACCTCTGGAAGGTTATCAGGTTACCTATTCACCACTTGCCTTAACACTTAAAATATTTTTTAAATTAATAAAAAAACATTCTTAGATTTTAACAAACTTAACATTTTTAAACTTTTCTTATTTTCTCATGAGGCTTAAAAAATGGACTGCACAAATACTTACCAATCTTTGATTTAATCTCTTATTTTCCTCTTCTTTCAACTGCAAAGTCTAAAAGAAAATCTTAATGCGATTAACTGGATATTACACTTTATACAGTACAAACTTTTTTAAAAAAGTTCTGATATGACTAGAGCCCAACTACTTGTACAATACTACATCCTTCAGTTCTACAACAATTATCAAAACATCTTTTGAACAAAGACATGAAAAAAAAACTCTTGAAGTCTAGGAAATTATCCTAGTGCTACAAACCCCCATGCTAAGATTTCACCTCCATACTCATACTTTTCTTTCAGTTAGAAAAACATGCAAATGATAGAACAGCAAAAGAAATGTAATATATTACTATGTTATAGCTTCTACCCATGACAAATCCTTTGTAATCAGATGACATAAAAAAGCATGTATGTGCTTATAGTCAGAAACATCCAGGCAGTTGCTTCATACAGTGTCACAATCCATTAACAGAAAGCATTCCTGTTCTTTATTTTGGTCCCAGATTTTAGTCCAAGTGATCCTAGAAAGCTGGAAGCTAATGACACCATTTTTTTTTTCTTTTAAAAAGTCAACTTCAAAAAGACAGCTGAGATGAAGTTAGATATCACTGGCCACTTAAAAATTACTAGAATCTGAAATACTCCAGTGTAACTGCTAGAGGTTAATCTCACATCTTACCAAGAATACAGCCTATGAGGAGAAATTACCTATTTTTATGAGAAACTGGCAAATCAATCTTAAATCTCCAGCTGTTTTGTTTTTCTTAATTAGAAAAAGAAATTGTAACTTTTTTCTATAGAAATTCACTGTATCAGTGATCTGTCACTCCTAAAAAGAGTGACAGAGCAGTCACTCGTACTAAAGCCCACATAAACATAACAAGGATAGGCCACGAGTAATGTTTTAATAGTTATCTTGAATTACAGTTACCTTGAATAGTTATCAGTGAATTACAGTGATCCAAAAGTACAATGAAAAAACATTCTCTGAAATCCTATTTATAATCCCTGCAGACACTATATAGCATCAGAGCATACAACTGACCACAGCACAACTTCACATGTACATACTTTTAAGTACTTAGTCATAAGTACTTTACCTCACAAACAAACAATCTACTCACTCTTTCTAGCAACATTATCCTCTGCTTTTCTTCAGACATATGAACATTTTCACTAAAAGAGAAAGAAAATTGACAGGTTAAAAACTAACATTTTTTTAATAATCAAAAATGGTCCTTTCCACACCCACGTGTTATCTTCACTCAGTGAAGAGTGTTATATATATTTGCTAGCACACAGGAAACAGCATAGAAAGACACTTTAGGAATCAGCATCGATATTTGTTGCTGGTGTTTTGGATTTTTTTTCCTTTGCTTTAAACCAAGGAGGTTCTTTGTCGCAACAAGCCAGTGGATTTTCAGCCATTGATTAGTTTATCAAACTACATCAGGGCATTTCTTGGTATTCTGCATTGTTTTCAAGACACCGGGATGAAAGATACAGCCCCACATGCTTTGACAGTTAACCTCTGATAGTGCAATTCAGCTCTATTATGCCCCATTTTCCTGGTCTGCAGCTCAAAGGCTACTGGTCCGACGTGCCCTGGAACTCCATGGTAGAGACACTAACGTGAACTCACTACTTGTTGCCGTTCATCTGTGGGATAAACTGAGTACTGGGGCATGATAAAATAAATGCTAACATCCCAAGTAATTGCTAAAGAACATAAACAGTAATTCCTAAAACAGTTATAACATACTTTAGAAGCAGTTTAAATAGGGAAGAAACAATGTATTTTCTAGTCCAAACTGATTTGGTTGAGAAAACAAACAAGTTTTGGGATGAAACATGCTACAAATCCAATCAAAATAATCAGAAAAGCTAACTGATTATAATTAAACCATACTAATCATTACTTCATTTCCGTTAAAAGGCTGTTTAGCTCTAATGTAATAGGAAGCAGTCAACAGAAACCTGTGAAAATTTCTGTCTAATCATACACTGGGTCATAATTTTTTTGTTCACAAGCTCACCTTAATTTTTTTTTGTACACTTGTTTTGAGAGTGCAGGACTAGAATGATTACTATAAGAAACAGCTCTTTTTTTAAAGATGGGGTACTCCCTTGTTTTTTTATCAGTGCAAGTTTAGTCTGGCGAGGACAAACTGTTTTCATCTTCACTTCTACAAAGCCGTTTAGTGCTCTGGCAGTATCAGTTGTGATGCACACTGACTAAAGTCAATGTAAGCATATTTAACAATTTTGCTCTTGTTCCTCTGGTAAAAACCTTGCTCCTCTTGTGTGGCTGCCAGTCAGGTTTCTTACTTCTGTGAAAGGTATGGAGAGAAGCCTGGGGTTCTTTAAAATGCTAGTGGCATGAAAGTGAGACACTGTTCAAAACATGTGTCAGTAACATGCAGCCTCCCAGTTCATTCACCATTAGCTTTCCTTCTGTTTGACATATGCTTCGCATACTTAGGTATATTCTTTTATGTCATGTTTGCAGGGCAAATCACCTTGAAGCTGCATATTTCAAAGTCATCAAACCTACACATTCCAAATGATTGTGACACCACAATTGTATGCACATGTATGTTTAAAAGAATATTTTCAGGAAGAGCATCAAAAGCAGGAGGAGAGTTAAACACGCTCATCTGCATTTCACACTGCCCAAGAGCACATATTTCCAGAATGAGAGCATGCTTTGTTTCTACTCTAATGCCCCATACTTACTGCACAGCCATCATACTGGTTTCCATCGTGGAATCCATTCTCCCCTCAGCCCCAAAGTCAGCAACCAATCTCTCTGTGTCTGTGGGCACATCAGCTGCACAGGCCCCACAGGCTTCTGATGCTGCTGCCAAGTAGGTTGATGGAGAAAAATTACTACTTCTCAGTTTACTAACTTCTTCTTCAAGTTTCTTCTTCTCTTCAAGTAAGCGAGCTCTATCTTCAGAAAGTGTTTCAATCAAATCTATGACATAAACAAACAGAATTCCTTTTAATTCCAGCAGTGCTAAGGATCAAAACCAACCTGCGAAAAATGGAACAGTCCTATTATAAAAGATGAAACTTCTTTAGAACTTTGCTTACCCTTATCTTTTTCTTGCTGTTGTGTAAGCACTTTTAATTTGTCACTAAGATCATTAATTATGTTTTCTTTTTTCATTTTCTCTCTTGCCAGAACAGTGTTAAAGTTGGTCTGAAAACAGACAAAGTATTACTGAAATAAGGAAAGTATTGTAAAAACATAACGCAAAATAGTATAAAAGACAGCATGCATTTCAGTTTTCTACAATATAATTAAAGAAGTAATTAAAACTTTTTTACTTACTGCTTTGGTGAAGAGATAAAACGCCAGTACATTTTATTTTCAAGTTTGTCTTAAAAATTTTTTTGTAATTTATTTTATTTTTAATCCTCTCATTCCCTCAAGCCTGATACATACAAGTAGTACAATAAGAAATAATTTTAAAAAACAGAAGTTTTTGATTCTTCTTTAAAATTAATACTTTTTATTCCAGTTAATGTAAAATAGTTGAACATTCTACATTTAAAAGAGTTACTTGAATGGTTCAAATTATTAAGATAAAGCTAAACTGCATCCAGATATGCTACATAAAATGAAAAAGAAAAATACCATTACCAGTACACTATAAACTGAATTAAAAATACATTTCAAGTAATGCATTAATTCTTGAGTGAACAATTCATTATTGCAAAAGATACACAGGAATCCTGGTTAATAGCTTGAATAGGTGAACATAAAGAGACCAGCAGAGCCTTCAGTACCAATCTAACAAATATTTCCACTTCTTCAATCCTTCTATTGACCATTGTGCCCTTTAACTCTTAGGGTGCTGCTGAACAGACAGACAAAACCTACTAACAACCATGTATTAAAAGGATATTTCAAATTACTTGTAATTTTTCTGTGACTTTGAAGATTCTCCTGATATATGCCTATCAACTCTTAAAATACAAACTATTTGGTGGGCTACACAACTTACATAGGGCACAGCAGCCTTTGTTATATGTCTGCATAACAAAAGTGACACCTCTAAGGAAACTTCACAGAGGAAAAAAAACCAAAACCAAAAAAGACAAAGGCAAGGATGAATACCCAAAATATTCAGTAATCAGCAGAGCCAGTGAAGTAAACTGTCACCACTGACTGATACACCCTTTTTCTGGGTTTGTGGTATTTGTTTGCTTTGGTTGGGGTCTTTTTTGGGGTTGTTCATTGTTTGTTGTTTTTTAAAAAAGTTAGAGCTTTCCCTGGAATTTGCTGTCAATGCAACAGAACCTTCCCTTCCATGCTCTGCTGCAGAAAAGAAGAATACTATTAGATATGGAGGCCAATGGAATACTAAGGAATATTGCAAAAATGAAACGTATTATTACCAATCCAGGAAAAAATTTCCTATTAAATTTACTATGTAAGGCTAACTTCAGTATTAATGCTTGCAGCCCAATTGCAGTAACACTCCTTTCTTTGCAGCCATCTGCAATTCTGTGTTCCCTACTCCCGGCATCAAGTGATTCATATCATTCATTCACCAAGCTGGCTGATCACCACCCTTGTCTCTTTGTCCTTATTTGATCCTACCACAGCTACAGTAAGGAGAAGTGCTTAAAACAGAAAATCCTTTCTCAGTGTTTAAATGCAACAAAGCTGCAGATAATAGCTGTTACTAACAGATTTAATTTAAGAACTCGAGACTCTATAGAAACTAAGAGGCTCAAGATGTTTTGAAAGGAAAAAATGTGTGGCTACAGATGTAAAATAATAATCCAGTGCAACATGATTTTTCATCAATATAAGAACTACACAATGGCTTTATTACATAAAATGCAACATACATTGTTTGAACCTCAAAATAGAATATGTTTATGCTTTGAACCTCAAAACACTACCTGTCCATGGTAATAAACTTTAAAAGCCAGTGAAATGCTCATTGATTCCAGATCAATTAGTATTTCAAATAATTAATTTAGTGTTGTCCACAAATTTTATAACACCTGGTATCTTTCTGCAGTTGAAAAGATTAATGAAAAATTAATCCATTTACAATAATAATAAATAATAATTATTATAATTAATGTCATAATAAATATTATAATAACTAATAAAGACGCCAAGCACTTAAGCAAAAGAAGTTACAAAAACTCAATTTGGATTGCCAGTTGTTTGGTAATTGGTTTTGTCTTTTGTTTTTTTGTTTGTTTGTTTTTTTTTGTTTTTTTTTTTTTTCCAGTGGAGTATTTTTGTTTGTTTCTTTGTTGTGTTTTTTTCTCTTAATGCTTAAATGTTTGATTACATTAACACATCATATCCTGGCTTCAGATAATCACACAAATTTAGAATGTGGAAGTGTTACAGAGAAAAAGAGAATACTACACTCTTAACTTCAAAGCAGCAAAAGAACACAACTGTCATGGAAGCAAAAATAATTTTTAAAAAAATCAGCTTTACCTGCTGCTCTGCAGTGAGTGATGTTCTGATGTTCTGCATTTCTTCATTCTTTCTTTTCTCTTGTTCTTCAAGTTGCTCTAAGAACTTCATTTTTTCTTCCTGAAGCTTCTCCTGAAGTTCAGCGACTAAGTTTGATTCAGCAGATGATTCAGCAGGAGGACTTAAAAGAAAATGTTTAGGCTTTAAATGCGCAGTGTATACCAAGCCCCACATACATGAAATAAACACACACACACAAAAAGTCAGACGTTCATTTTGAGACATTATTCCTGAAATATTTAATATACTATATTACAATTAAGTCATTATTAACTTCAATTCTACTTTTTAATCATATGCATGTCACCAATTCTTACTCTTGGGCATTCTGTGTTTTTGGCATAGCATGCTGGCTCTAACTTTGAAGTTTTGTTGTGAGGGAGGACTTTTGTTTATACTTTTACTAATGTAACAGAAGGCATGGAAAGTGGTAAAAAAACCCAACTACCAACTTCACAAAGATACTTAGTATGACAAAATGCAAAGCCTTCAGAAATACCACATAAGGAAAACAATTCAGCAGAAATCTGATGCTAAGGAATCCAGATGTGAAATTCAAAACTCTGGATTGCAGAATCTGGAGGACAGCAGTGATGATCATAAAGGAAGGAAACCATCAACAGTCACAAAGGCAGGATAATTACCTTAAATGGCTTTTGAAACAATGTTACATAGGCCAAGTATTTTTCACCATTGAAGCAAAAACTAACTACACTCTTCTGTGTTTTGGCTGGAGTTACTAAGAACGCCCCTGAAGAACTTTAGAATAGAGAAACCCCTTTGACGGGCAACAATTGTGAAAAACTGTATTATTTTAAATTGTCTATTATTCATCTGCACCAGAATTGTATTTAAACCATACTGATATTAAAATTAATCATATTTAAACCCAAAGCTCTTAGCTGAACTAAACCAAAGCAGGAATCATCTGCCTCTCAGATGGATTGCCTGGACTACTGCTTGCAAATGACAGCCAAGTAAAGGATATTGTGGTTCTGCAAAGGATGCTAGCACATTACCAGTTTTTATACCTCATCACTGTACCAGGCAGCAGGTTTAAGTATTTAATCTGAAAAGGTCTTATCAACTACAGCAACAGTGACAATGCCTAACTTTATTGTTTTCAAGATACCAAAAGCACATTTCTTCAGATTGGGGTTTCTTTGCAAACACTTGCACTGCTCTAAGATGACAAAGGATGTACTTAACAATACTGCTACTGTTGTACCACATGGGCATATACTGAATATATAAACTATTATGCAGCAGCTGAGCATTGAGAAAGCCCATAAGAACCTCTAAATAAGAGCTCTGAAAGCTGACTGAAGTTCTGAGTGGCTAAACAGACTCTGACATTCTAGAAGTCAGAAGTAAAATAAGCAGAGAAAAGAAAGTCATGAAAGACTCAGGTAAATCTTCTTTTGTCCCACTGAGAAAACATTTTTGTGCTTGATTAAATTTCAGTTTATTTCTAAATGAAGCCTAACTAAGAGAGAGGACATGCGCTCTGTGGAGAAGAGACATTATGGTGGTCTGACAGAAGTGGCTGGACAATAGTAAGACTGCAAGATACCAAAGCACTAATTCCATCTTCAAAGCAGTTTGGATTCCTATTCTACTTTTAACATTCTCTACAGTATTATATGTACATATATATTATAACTAACCAGAAAACCATTTTAAAACACTTAACAACAAATCATTAAAGATATTGTGGTTTTCTCTACTGTTCTGCACTACTACATAGTGCAGAAAGAGTAAATGGAACTACAAATGCCTCGCAGTTTTATTATCTTTCTTAATCAAAATGACTTGATTTTCAGACATACCAAACCATGTTAATTTTTATACTGTGGTAAAGCATGGATAGAAAACATTTCTTTGTTGACTCTTAGTATTTTTGTTAGTTTTCATGGAAGTTCAAAACCTAAATTCCTGACACCAGCGCAATACTCAGGTCAAATTTAACAATCCCTCTCTCTGTCTGCACCTTCTGAATGGCTAATGTTACAATACTCTTGTAGAAAACAACAAACATATAGTCACATGCCAAACGAAGGTTGTTTTCTACCATTACAACTGCTAAACAATGAGTAAGGATAACAAATGAACCTGAGTTATTGACATAGCTTGGGGTTTCAGGAATTTAAAAATCAAACAACTAAATAGTGACTTTGAAATATTAGGACAGATTTACTTAACATGTAAGCCCTTTAGCGATAAAACATAGTATATCTTGATTCCTAGAGAAAAAAAAAAATTAACAGCAGAATAAGGACATAAAAAGAATCCTTAGGAGGCAAAATATATTTCAATGTCACACTAAAAATTAAATTACTTTACAGAACTTGTAACAAACTAACAGCACTTCTTTAGATTGAAGCAGATCATATTTCTTTGAAATACATTATCTGTTTTATCCAGTTTGGATAAGAATACACACAGCTGTAATCACAAGTTGGAAGTTAAGTGTAGTGGATTTTTAAAAAGTCTGATGACGTAGCTACATCTTTTTCCTGTTGAGTCAAGTTCTTCAAATTTCTACAATTCATTAATACACAGAAAAGGAAAAGAATGCAGAATTTATCATTTTTCTTCTCATCACACCATATTTCATTAAGAGAATACTTTCTTCAATTAAGAAGGGTTATTCTTAAGTTTCATTATATCCCAATCTTAATTCAAGGAAGCAATATTATCTTGATGCACTTCTTTATACACTGACAAGCAAACACAGGCACTAACACAACATCACATAATAATGGAATTGCTCGCACGTGAAAATCCTGACGTAGCAGACAATTCCAGTGAAGCAGATATTCCCATTTCCTTTGGAATATGCATGACCTGCCCTCACCTACCTTTTTTTTTAACAGTACATTGATACTCAAAATTTAAAAGCTAACTTAAGTCTGTACTCATTTTTTGCAGTGTTCTTTCTTTTATGTCAATTCTGTCCATTTTATTGATCTTTTCCCATTTCACATACTTGGTTTAACACCTGGGAAGAAAATTCCTGTATTAAGACATTTTACAAACAAGATCTATCTGCTGCACTGATCTTGTTCACACACCACAAGAACATAAATGAAAAATGCTAGCATTTAAAAAAATACTATTGCTAAGCCTTAGTCACATAAAAAAATTCTACTATTTCCATTCTATAACAACACAATCTAGGCTGCTGACAGGCATTACAAACTCATAAGTACATAAGATAGGATAAATCAGAAAGAATAATTCTATGCATTCTTGGCAAGGGAGAAACATTTTTAAAATGTAAAATTTCTGCAGAAATTAACAAAGAAAAATGGTAATGTTAGGATATTCTTTAAGATTATGTTGCACCTTTGTGTTTCATTATGAAGCTCAAACTGAAGACCCTGAAATAGGTTAAGTGGGGCAGCAAAAGTCAATGGAAGTCCATGTGGCCATGGGACAGCTCTCAGTCAATCCTGTATCAAATCCCACTCAAGTTTTCATGCCCTGTTATCACCAACTTGGTGTACAGTCAGCCAATAAAGAAAGTTATCAGGCTACCTAAAAGCCAGCCACTGCATGCTCCCACAGTGCTAGCAGAGCAAGGATGGGAAAAGAGAGAGCAGCTGAGACCAACAAAATCAGAATTTCAAGTAACTTGCTACCGTGGAAATACTCCTTCAACATGACCGAAATGTAAAACCTTCACTGCTGTCTTGAAATAATCCTGTATAACATATTTTACAATCCTTGAGATTAACTACAGACATGGGAACACCACTGACTATAAAATGGAAACAATTTGAAATGCAACTATAGAAACCAATACAAATAAACACTATTACAAATACAACAATTTTAGTTACTGCACAGTGTGTCATGAATATACCATATTGATTAAATACTAGGAAAACACAGTAACTTAATTCTTACAGTACCTCTGATTCACTTGCATCTCAAGTTGCATTATTTTTTCCAAAAGCCCTTTTTCAGCAGCTTCCCTCTGTAATTCCAACTCTTTACAAGCAGTTTGCACTGCATCCTCTTTTTCACAATTGAGCTTCTGAATGAGCAACTGCCTGTCTTGCTCTTGGTTAGATATTAATAGTTCTTGCTCTTCCTTTAGCTTATGGATAATAGCTTCATATTTTTCCTGCTGCTCACAGAGAGACAAGTTTTCTGTTTTTTCCTTCTCTAGGGCAGTCATTTCCAACTCTAACTTACTTTGCAGTTCTGTTATTTGCTCTGAAAGTCTTTTTTCTGCCTCAGCAGTTTTTTGATGAAGAAGCGTTACTTTATTTAATTCAGTTCTAAGCAAATTTGATTCTTCTTCATACCTATTTATTAGCTCAGAAATACACTGATCTTTCTCAATTGTCATCAGAGTCCTTAGTTCTGATAAGCCCACTTGATATTCATCACTGCTGATTTGTATTTTATTGTTTAATTTATCTATTTCCTTTCTTAAGCTTTCAGTTTCCTTGTCAACCTGAGATCTTAAGGTCTCTTGTTGCTGGTTTCTGCTTTCTTCCAAAAGAAGCTTCATTTCATCAGTTTCTGCCTCTTTCAGGGCAAGTTCAACTTCTAGTTTGCACCTCAAATCAGACAGATCTGAAACCTTGAGTTGTAGCTCTTCTACTTGTTGTTGTTTCTCTTGCATAACTACCTCATGAGACTCCTGCATTTGTTCAAGTCTATGCTCGTTCTCTTTTTTCAATTTATCCAAACAGTCCTTGTGCTCAGCTAGGACCTTCTCAAATTCCTGTAAATGCCTGGCTTGTAGGTTGCTTTCCAGTTCTTTTAAATGGCTTTGCTCTAAACTCTCAAGTTCTGCCCTCAGGAGTTGCAGTTTCTCGTTGTTTTCAACATGAAGTTTTTTCAAGTCTTCAAGTACAATTTCACGTGACAGCCTCAGTTCCTTGATTTCAGAATTTTGTGTCTCCATTTGGCATTCCAATTCAAGTAATTTCTGGTCTTTTTCATTCTGAAGGCAAACTACAGCTTCTTTCTCATTCTTTACTATTGCAAATTCATCATTCTTATTCTGAAGAACTTCCTCAAGACCTAACAGGTCACCTTTTAACTTTTTGATTTTCTTTTTATTTTCTTCACCATCCTCCAATAATTTATTAATTTTAGTTTCATACTCACTTTTCAAAGACTGTAATTCATTTTGATGTTTATCATTTAGTGTTTTTTCAAGTGAAAGCTTTACCTTTTCAATTGTATTTACTATTTCTAAGGAAGTACATTTTAAAGAATTAGAAAAGTCACACTGTTCTCTTTGTACAAGTGTTCTGAAATGGCAAAGATCTTCTTTTATACCTTTTAAATGTACCTTTGAGTCTTGAGCAATAACCCTACACTTCTCCACACAAACACTGAGAGAAGCATTTTCTACAGAAACATCCTTTACACAAGAACTTGTATCTTGCATACGCCTACTGTCTATTGCATTGATAACTGAAGAATAAAGAGATTCCACCATCATTTCTGGGCTTTGTGGGTCACTTATTACATTAGGAGACACTGGATTTTCTTCTATTACAAATTCATTTACTGCTGACATAAAGTCAGATTCGGGACTCTCTGCCAATGAATCCAAGTCTAATGATCCTTGCTTAAGAGCTTGCTCCAAGTTCGGATGGGCAATAGTTTCAAAATCGAATGTGTGAGCATCAATGCTGTCCGGGGACAATTCTTCTAATGGAGCTGGGGGACACACAGGAGGACACAGGGGACCCTGAAGACTGAGTGATGGAGGAGTTCTTGAAGAGGTAGCAATTGCGGTTCCTGTAGTACTTTCCATCCTTGGTGTGGTAGCAGATTGTGGCGATGCTTGACTATTGGAGGCCTACACGTTATAAAACAAGAAACAAACACAAAGTGATAAGCAGAACTGTTAATACTGAAAATTCATTCTAAACCTCCAGGCGAAACAAGAACTTGAAAAAATCACCCTTATTATTTGTAACAATCCAAAATATGTACTACTAAAACTTAAGCAAAATTTGCAGAAAATCAAGATGATTTTCCATTAAGTTTCAGAAAAGCATCATTTGTAAGCACATAAATATTAAATGTTCACCTAGCCAGAAGTCCTATGTAGAGCATAGCCAACTGTATCTTACCAGTCAGAAACAGGCTTTGGTTCTTTACAGCCTACTTATTTCAGTTTTTCTAATAATTTCATTGCTAAAATATCTTTTTTCTATTATTGCCAATATTGTCATTAAAAACTCCTTTAGTACCTTATGCTATTATCTACCATATACAACATGGTAATATGGAAGCCCTAATGCCAACAATATATCTACAGATTCTTAAGACATAAATATAAACCTTAAGCTTTAGCAAGCGCAGAACACGTTCCAGTGTAAGCCAAAAAGCAATGTACAGCCTGAGTATCTACCAAGGACACATTCCTGAAAAAGTTTATAATAGGACTGACAGCAAAGCAATTTTTCCTAGGAAAATTACAGTGAAACACACACAGTTAAAATACATAAGGCAAGCAGCTGCGACACACAGTTAAGGGGTATGCACAGGATCATCAGGATCACAAACTGGAAGAGATGCAAAGTTTTCTGAACATATGAGTGCTCTGAAAGATCCCAGATGCATTCTCTGTAACACCATAGCTCAACTATTACCTTGCTCCTTCATCACTAAGAACTTGTTTGATTTTATTCAGGTAAGGAATTGAAAAGAAATAGTTTCTGAAGAAAAATGCATGGGAATTTTTCCAGTAGAAAATTTCCATAAAACGTTCAGTCTCAAAGTGCTGGAAATCTGGTGGTGCTCTTCAAAAAGCCAACATTGCCATCAGCTGATAATTCTGTGATCTTGCCCATGCCTCTTTCTCAAACCATCCACACTGCCTCAAAGCAACTAGAATGCATGTCTGGTGTTCTTTACTATGTTAGCTATTATTGAAGAAACTTCTGCCATCCATTGAATTCAGCTACTTGACTGGCAACAGTTAGTGGAGCTTGGCAATAAATGTTCAGCAACAGCAAAAATCCCAGAAGTGACAGATATTGATCTGCTGTCATATAAATAGCCATTTTTTGCCGTCTCCATTTTGTACAAATGATTGTTACTCAAAAAGGGACCTTACCCTTCTCTGCACCAAGGAAATATTCCTTAAAGGAGATATAGTGTGTTTAACAATTCTCAGCTGTCATTTAAGAAGGATCTATTTCCAGTTTCAGCGCTCATCTATTTAGCAGAGTTGCATTTGCACCTCAGCTCTCTTAGCTTTTGCATCTTTATAAATCTAAATCGTACAATGATTTTTAAATACATTGTAAAAAAACCTTGTGATCATCGCATAGAGAATACTGTATACACAAAAAGTGAACAGGACATGAGAAAAAATGAAAAGGAAATGCTCCTTTCTAAATGGTTCTATTAGCCCAGGTTTAAGCATTTCCCTTGGACTTAATTTCAGCTTGTTGTTTATCTAAGAAAACTTACAAAACTAGATGTTGAAGGGTACTGTGTATGCTGATACATGCCTAAGTTCAAAGCATGCTTTAAGTGACAAACATCTACCATTAATATACTAATAATAAGAAACAGTAACAAAAACTATCATCACAGATATCAACCACACACTAAAAAAAGCAATTCAAAGACTCTGACTATGGAGAAGTCCTACAGAAACCCACATGCAAAGGAATGATACTATCTACTTTTGGCAACCCTGCAGAATCATCCTAGAAGATAAAGAGTAAGGATTCAGCATAAAGAAGAAAAAAAAAAGAAATAGTCACTCTGTATAACAATAATGAACTCTGTTTCCTCATGACTTGGGGCTGCAGCACACTACATGCCTCAGCAGTGGCTTCTGTGAGTTGGGAGTCTAATGAAAGCACCAGATTACTGCTTAGAGAAGAGTTAAACCTCACATTTTGAGTGGCTGAAACTATACGAAGATTTTGTTTACAGAGAAGCCTGTGCCTGCCATGTAGTCAGTTTACTATCTACAGGCAGCAATGCATGCACATCATACACTAATTTTTGTAATGACAAAGGAAGATGAGTCAAGAGCAAACAATTAAAAAAAATAGAAAAACAGAATTCATTTCAAAGTTCTCAGGTATTGCAAGACTATGTGCACTGCTCTAATTATGTTACTACAAAAAAAAAAAATCAGGGATGCTGCAATTCTCAGGAAGATTACAAGCAGTGTTTCAATTCCAAACTAAACTAGAAGAAACGGTAGATTTATGATTCGATTTTAAAAGCCAGCTTCCCTTATAAAAAAAACTTTTAATACCAAAGGATTGTATATGTTATCTACTGACCACCGAGAAGGCACCTTACTCATCTTACCCATGGGCACCTTAGCTTTTCCTGGACATCTTTAACCCAATTGCTGACCTGCTTAAACTTTGTATTACGGAAATAAGAGGGCACAGCAACATGTTTGAGACTATTAAGTTACAAATAATAAGCAGAAGGTCTTAAAAATGAAAACAGATTTCAAAGTATTAACAAATTAAACAAATATCCACAAAAATGTTCTTTAACTACTCCAATGTAATTCTAAAGTAGAAAATTATCAGTTATGTTCTATGGAAGTTGAAATAGTAAGAGTTATGGAGACACTTGAAAATAAATACTCTCAACACGCAGTAAGTTATTTAATCTCCTTTGACTCGCTCTTTGCTCACTTGTCTGCAGTCACAACTTTTCCCTCCTGCCTAAAGCAACTATTAAAGCACAGTTGCTGTGGCTGATGCAGTAGGATGAACTTCCACTTAACCCATACAGAATTCAACTGCTGCACTACCAATACCCCAGGGAAACTATCCCAGTCAAATCTGAAGAACCAGGTTTCTCCTGCCACTAATATGGAAAGGGAAATGCCGGGGTCGAATGTGTCTCCTTGGAAGAGTATGAGAATAATAATATGGGCAACACTCAATACCTGCACAGGCAACTCTGCACCAAGCTGGGACAGTTCACCACCAGAAAAAGTGGATGCATAAAGATGTAGGCATCTCCATGACAATCATTAAATGTTTATTCATTCTTCTAATTATTTATTGTGAATTCCCAGCAATATTGATATAAAAAGGAACATTTTAAAAATTACTTCAGTAATTCTACACAGGCAAAAGTAGTATAATTTAAAAAAACACTTCTATATTAGCTGCAGAGCAAAACAACACAAAGACCTTGTGTCTTTCACCAAGTAGTAAAAAGAACATTACCTTTGAAAAGAAAAAAAAATCTCTGACAAATCTGTTTGCTTCAACTCCAAAAAGAGTTCAAATGAATCACTGAAATAACACACAGAGATGAGCATTTTCAAGATGACATCATGAATGGCCCAGCTCTGATTGTGCAATGCAATTTGCTCTAAGGAAAGAGATAATAATCCAAATCTGTCTAAGCACCTGACATTTCTGTGTGAGCGAAGAATCCAAATTAGTCAAACAAAAGCAAAAGAAAAGAAAGTATTTTGGCAAACATCTTTTTCAGTACAACCAGATACATACAAAATTTTTCCAGATAAGCATGTCTGAAGAAAGAAAGAAAAATGACAAAGACTTCACAAATTCAGGTATATTTTCTGCTTATCTTTCTACTGTTATTATGCACATTTTTAATTAAAAGCTAAATTTCACATTCTTCTGACACAGCAAGGCTTCATAAAAAAATTAATTTATTAGGACAACTGTCACTATCCTAGTCTCTTATGAGATAAATTTCAGGATTTGGGACTCCATGTTGGGAGTGAATGTCTGTATTTTAGAGCAAGGTCTGTTGTAAGGGCATGTTCAATAAACACCAAAATTTCACAGAATTTCACTTCCAGCAATTTCAATGGCTCTTACAGTGTTAAGGCCCTAATATTCTTAATGGCTGTTCATTTGAAAAACAATCTTCATAAAGAGAGAAAATATCTGGGAAATGATACTTAAATAATACACCTTTTCTGTATTACAGAACAAAGAGCAGTCCAGATTTCATATTTTACACAAATAAAAGACTTCCAACAAATCTGTTCAAATCCCATAGAAATCAAAAGATAGAGAACTTCATGTCACTTGGTTTAAGCAGGAAATTGCTATTCAAAATTAAACACGTTCATAGCTTTATCTGTTATATAAGATGCTTCCCAGTCAGCCAAGTGCATACAACAATTTACACTGCAGACAATAACACAGCCCCTGGAAAAACCCACTGATTTTCTACAGCAAAAGAAACCTAGTTTGAAGCAGTCAACTTCACAAAAAATCTTAAGCATTGCTGAAATTCACCCACTGTTTCCCTGAGAGAGGCCAGTCAGAAGCTAAAAGGAACCTATTGGGTGTACTATGGAATTTAGAGGTTGCATGCACAGAAGCAAAAGTGATTGGTAGAAACAGTTTCTAGGGGAAGGAGTCTGTTTGACAGGCAGAGTGAACCTAGGAAGGGATCTCTTTACCATCTGTTCCTTCTGTACTCAAAGGAAAAGACTGCACAACAGCCAACCAAAGCCCTAAAATCTCCTTAACTGCTTGTACCAAAAGGACCTAAGAAACAAAGCAGAAATCCAGAGAAGTTACAAATTCACTGAATACAATCTAAAGCAATAAAGGCAGAATGCACTCATTTTCAGACAGAAGATTTGAAAGTGACAGAAAACAAAAATATAAACAGTGCAATTCTACTTCTACAACATCGGTGGAGTACAAACATCTGTTAAATATTCTCAGAATATTTACTAGTTCATGATTACAAAGAAAACTTCCACAGTTAATATCAGGAGAAACAAAGATGCATTCTAAAGTATTTGATAGAACAATGTTATGAAAATATTCTACAGTTTTAAATATCATCTCTTTTTTATTGATTAAAAAAAGCAAAAATACCTTTTGTTCATTCAGCAGGTCTGTAATAGTTTGTGACATTTCATCCAAACTCTGTGCTGCCTTGACCAGGTTATGTAGAGCACGTACATGCTGGTGAAGAGGTTCAAAGTCACAAAGTATGGGAACCCTTAAAAACAGTACAGGATTACTTTTTTCCATACTGTTAGTTTAATACTCCAATCTATTAAATTATTATGTGTATGTTTCAACAACACTAAGCTTGCCTCTGTGTAAGGTCTATACGTTCTTAATTTCATCTATTTCATATGGAAAAAAAAGTCTACAAAGACTCCCTGGTATTTTTGTTTAACATTAAAAACTTGAGCACCTTTAAGGAGTCTGCAACAATAAACACAGTGATGAGCAAATAATCCCAGTCTTTCCTCCCAAGGAAAGTATTTGCCAGTAGTACCTAGAGTTCCAATGACATTAACAGAAGTGATTAAATCTCTAATTGAAGCACTTGTGTTTGCAAATGGCTATATTTTGTCTCCAGTTGGATTCTCTCCAATCCAGCTCTTCCTCTGAAGAAGCAATTAATTCTCTACTGTTTTATTTTCTTGATAGGTAACCTAAATTAAACAACTGATTAATGTGTCCTGATCACATATCAAGTGTGGCAAGATAAGCTGAAAACATGGAGCAAGAGTTCATCCAGACTAACAATACAGCAAAAGCATATATACTTCAATGTATTCTGCATTCTCTGCTCAATATATAGGGCAAGTGGCATTAAGTGTATTTTTGCAGAATTAAGATTTCAATTGCTCAAACAAAATTTCAGAAGACAGCACCACTGTAAGTAAAAAAAAAAGGTCATATTAATTATGCAGCTGAGAGGTTCAGGGCTGATAGAAAAGGACTTTGTGCTGCATCCTTGTGCTTGTTGCTTGCTCTTTCCATGTTAAATGAAAACACCAAACGAAGTACTGCTCTCTAGTTTCTTCTGAAGATCAGCATCTACCCGAGGTGTGTGACAGCTTTTGCCCACACGAGTTGCAAGTTCACCACTATCCTCTGTATTTTTCAGCAAATTCAGCCCTGAGCCCAAAAATCAGGAGGAATGACATAATCCCACCTCTATTGCCATCAAGTGGAAAGCTATGTCACTACAATTCAAACAAAATAAAACATCTTAAGTCAATGATTGGTTTTCTGACAAATAGCAGGGCAAAATTCTTCCTGAACTCAGTATAAACCTCCAGGAAGACTGTAAAAGTCTCACAAATTTAAAAAATCAGGCAAACATTAGGAATAAGATCATGTAATTGCACTTTTTTCCCCAGAAAATTAATGAGGAGCAAGCCAAGGAGCAGAACAAGAGAAATTAAAAGGGTACATCAGCTAAAAAATTACCTACAACAAATCCACTGTGATGCTGACTAAGCTCACTACATTTGTTAACTCCACCATCATTACCATAAAGATAGCCAGGAATTCTGAATCAAAAAGAATGTCAGTCCAAAATACAGGTGAATAAAAGCAATCAATCCAGCTCCTGCCTTATGCACCAATAACAGGTATTAGGTTGACACTGTTGGTGGACCTGACAGATGGCAGTGAAGCATCCTCGTCTTACATTTACCTTTGTAAATGCAATCCCAACTTCGTGGGACTGTTGGCTTCGGGGCTTTAAAAAACCCCAAAAACAAGCAAACAAAAACAAAAATCCCAAAAAACAAAAAAAGAGGAATCACAGCAAATCTCAAATCTCTAACTGCAGATCTCTTTTAGGAAGAGGATGATGATACATGCAACATAAGAATGTGGTCATACTGACAGATCTCCTCCTAGGCAGAACCTTACATACAACTTCCTACTACCAATTTCTGGCCCATTATCTTGGTTGGCATTTCTCCACCTTGACTTCTCTGAGTTTGGAAGCTCACACTAACAGTCATCTTTTTCACTAAGGTATCTCCAACTTCTAGATCAGGAACTAATCCCATAAATTGCTTGTGAGACAAACCAGTAGCTTTCCTGTCTACATATGCATGCTGCCTCGCTGTTGGGAAGTAAGAAACATAGAAATAGAGCTTCTACTCAAAATGATGGATTTCCATTGACAGCAGAGGCACTTAAGAGAATACACTTTTTAGCAAAATCAGTTTAATAAAATTGGAGAAAAAGCAGTAATTGAATATAAGAGATCTCTGTGATCTCATACTGAGCTAAAGACATTTATTTTATTTCCTACAGAATACCACACAACAAAGAGCAAAAGAAAAAAGTATCAAAACTCATTCTGATCTGACAAAACATAGTTATGAGTTTATTTCAGTATAGAACTGATGGCATTTTTTTTTGCTTTTTAGCTCTGAGGCAGATCTTTCTGTTTCGATACAGAATAGGTATGTTCAAACCATCAGACCTTGAATACGTATGTGTATCTGCATTAAGTCAGCGAAGCCCATTGCTTAAGAATGGCAATTAGATCAGAAAATATCCTTGTTTGTTCTTTACAGAAAATGACCTAAGGGGGTGGAAAACTGATGGGGATGGGACTCCTGGGAAAGCTATTTCTGTAACACATGAAGTGTAAAAAGGTACCTTACCTGAGTAATGGCTGAACTTCTGAAGGACAGAAAGACTGCAAAAATTGCAAGTCGCTCAACGAGATATCTGGAAGCTCACTGTCAAATCTGCGAGGTTTTCGTGTCTGTAAAGAAGACATTTAATTTACACATTGCTGTCAAGTATCAGATGACTAAAGAAGGATTAAGAAGAGCTTAATAAATAACATGGAAAAGTTAGCAGTAAACTGATCTCTTACTCAAAAGATTTTTAATTTTTAAGAAACCACGTCTAGTCCTTTGCCCCTAAAAAACAACCATTACACTTGTCATGATTAACTATCCACAGCGCTTGGGCAGCAGTAGAATGGAGTATTCCAGTTGCAAAGGAACTACAATGAGCATCTAGTCCAAATTCCTCCCTATTACCAAGCTTCAAAAACATTATGGATGTGTTTAGAAGTTAAGGGATAAGAGATGGCATTAAGTTTTACTTATTGTGCTGCTACACATGCAAATATTAATTCAGTTCAGTATTTGAAACATTGAAGTGAGCAGCATTCTTATTTTCCAAGTATCCTTTAAATAAAAAAAAAGCTAAAAAGGAGAAGCTGAAAAGGTTAAACAGGCAAAGTGAGATGGCAACATTAGAATCAGGGAGTTAGCTTACTTCAATTAACCAAGCTGTATGAAATCAAAGGTAACAGACAGTGCTTAATTACAATGCACTCATGTTATCAGCCAATTAAGAGGCAAAAATTCCTTTCCACTCATCCAGTGATTACATGGAAAACTTTTATTTGCTTTTACCATCCAATTAATTTTATTGCTCTATTATTCAAAAGACAATTAGATGATCAAATTATTCCTCCTGGCTTCTTTTTTCTGATCATTAAGATGATTTTTTTTTCAATACCACAGACTAAAAAAGGACTGCCCTGCTAAAAAGGAGAGCTGACATTTCATCTCCCACTGCACTCTAAGTTACAAACCAATGTTAATATAGGTCACTTGAAATGGCAGAGAACACTAGCTCCCAGCTTCTTCATGTGTCACAGCAATGCAAAAGACATATAGCTTCAATGAATAGCCCAGGTTTTTAATTTATGAAACTACATAGAAATTAAATAAAACCAAAGATATGAGTACATACACAAAAGGATGGAGGCCAGGAGTCAAGTCCTCTAAACAAACGATTCCTTAGAAAGGACTTCCCTGAAGAAAAAACCCAAACACCTTCTTTAAAGGAAGAAATACAACATCTCAAAAGAAATCAACTGAAGTTATTGCAGTTTAATAGATAAAATACATTTGGAAGCATTGCTACTTATATTGATGTCTACATAAAATTGCAAATGACCACAGAACATCAGACAAAACCCACCATTCAAGCAGAGCTCCCTTCACAGAAGTCTCTTTTTGCTTAATGTACACACAGGCAAAAGCATCAACTTATTTTTGAAATTTTCAGTAATCTTCCTCATCTCCGTTCCAGAAAAATTTGATAAACTTTCACTCAATTTTTTTATTTTAGCTGTCCATTCAGAACACAAGTGGCAGACTTTGCAGAAAAAGTTATCAAAATTATTTTAGTAGAATCTTTATTTTTAATTTTGTTTTTAAAACTTCTGGTGAAGGTCTTTGGATATGGGTCTTAGTTCTTAGATTTTTCTGGAGTAGTATAGAGGAAGTCATAGCAGTACTCAAATACTCAGTAACGGTTTTAGAAGTGTTATTTAAAAGAAAATAAAGCTCACAAGGCATGTTTTAAGCACAAACTGCATTTAAGTGTGATAATGAGAAACTGTATATTTTACAAGCATTTCACAGCTTTCACATTATTTTGGATAATCTATATGAAATAGTTAATTGTTTTGATCAATGGAAAAATATTTTCTTTGTAATAGGACCAGCATGAACTTCCTATTTAAGTAAAAGAAAATTTTCAGGTCTTGAAATTAGAATATAATGAAAATTATTTTAATTACAAAGACAAGAGATATACTTTAACACAATTTAACTTCACAGAAGAGAAAGTACTTACTAAAGAGTTTACCAAAAGATTCCCTTTTTGCCTTTTCAGCTTCATATAGATGTTTCCCATCTTTTATCAAAGCACCCGCCCACTGTGAAAAGGAAAAATACATAGTTACTTGTTAATTTATATGCTGATACAAAGGATTGGTCTCAAAGTTTTTTTTTTACTTACCTCCCTGTAGTGTTTTATGAACATTTTTCTCCTCACAACTTCAACAACAGCTAAACAGTACATCTGAGGAACAGTGCTGAGAGCCTCGACAACTTTGACCCTTTCTAGAAGCTCTGTTACAAGACGAAGCAGTGCTTGTAGTTTCTCTCCATCTTGGTCAGCATGAAGCATTACAAAACAACACCACCTACAAAAGCATATTACACTTTAGAAGATCACATCTTGGCAATATTTTTTTCATTTAAATTAGATCAGCAACATGTCTGGATGAAAGGAGCAATGACATCATTTCACATGGAACAACAACAGGCTAACTGGAAGTACCAAGCTGTTCAAAATTCAGTGGTCACCTTGCAGTTTCCTATTAATTTCTCACAACAGAATATCCATATCAGTGATCAAAAATGGACATCTACCTCCATTTGAGTTAAGTCATTGGTTTTGAATGTCTTGGTAAGACATTCAAGTTATTAGCATAAATAACCTTAGGAGTAGTACTAATGCAACTTTCTCCAGTAGAATTTAAAAAAGCCGATATATACTGAGAAAAAAAAAAAAGACTACTTTTTGTTTATAGATCTTAAAAATACTTATTGGAAAGCTTTAGCAACAGGTATTAAAGGTTAGAATGCTGTCAAAGAAATAAGAACACAACACTGTTTGGAAAGCCCACACAATGTACTCACGCACTACAAGCAACAGCCCCTGTAACAAATTCTCACATCTTGTAACCACATCTTCCAATTCCCTTAATCATACAATCAGTAGAAAAATTTCAAGCACAGACACCAATATAACTAAACCACAGGATAACTATTGGGAAGGTGATCAACTAGTGTGCTTGAGGATAAACATTACAGCAACTTTGCCACCAGAAAATACTTAAGGTGGAGGTATATCCCACAAGTAAGAAAAAACATATAAAACTGCTTTTATTATCAGAATTGAAGCAAAAGTGAAACAACAAATACAAACAAGTCAACATCAAGCAATCAGGAATATATACTAACAGAAAGCAATTAGGAATATATACTAACAAAGACACTACAACATTTGCACTCTTGATCTTTTCATAGTAATGATTTCCTTCAGGCACACATTCCTTAAACAGCCTTGCTGCAAATGGAAGTACTATAAAGTTGTGAAGCTTTAACTTACTTCAGTCTGACTTGCAGATTATTTGCAAGCTCCTGTTTGGCAGTGGTACATTTCTGTTTAATATCTAACAGTTTTCTGTGATTAGTTAACATAATCATCAGCTGATTTGCATGACTCAAACACAAATCAGGCAGCACAGAAGGATCTTTCAAGTTCTCAGCTCTCTTCTGATTAGCCAAAAATCCCTAGAGGAAGAGAGACATTTGTTACACAAGCTTTGTGACAATCAAAAAGTGTAAAAGTGACACATCTCTAAGAATGAAAGAATTTTAACAAACTTACTGTAACCATTGGTATGTACAACAGAATGATACATGAAAAAAGCAAGTATCAGAGTTGCTTTCTTTCAGTCCCATAATCCAGTCCAAATTAATTTTATTCCGTATTTCCCTACAAAATAGCTTACGACACAACCCTAATAGAACTTCACACAACCAACACCCACCAGTGAAAGACCACAAAACTTAATCAGCAGAAACATAGCTACGAGGATGGAGGGGATCAACCATCATTCTAACATCTGCTAAGAACCTTCTTCCCAACTTCTGGCATTTGAAAGATTAAACACCAACTTAGAGCATGTTCAGTACTACTGTGGGCTAAAGAATTTATATTTCTTGCATAAAGAAATTCCCACATGAAACCAATTATTCTCAAGAGCCAATATCAAGAGCCACACATCTTATTTGCATGCAAAGTGTACACTTACATCATAAGTAAAGGAATAGACAGTTTATAAAAGGAAATGGCAAGGATGAAGGTTTGAAAGCTGAAGTCTCTGCCAAGTCTTAAAAAAGCATAAATTCTAAATTTACAGTAGCATTTAAACAAGGTGACAAAATCTCTTTCCAGCTGACTGTAACGCTTCTTACTCTAAAGTGAGATTCATAAACTTGAGGTAGGCTCTTCATCCAAGTGAAGAAGGAAAAAACAGCTAAAAGCACCACTCACAATACAGGGCAACTAAGCACAGGGATGGGAAAATTAGCTTAGCCATCATGCTAAATTCACTTAAGTTTAGCACTGGCCTACAATATAAAGACCACGAGACTGAGATTTAACATTTGCTTCTAAACTTACTCATTGAATTTATTTGGAGACAGGCTCCACTTTTATATAATGATGCCAGAAGTAATTGTTGTATCCACCTTCACATACCAGACCAAAGAGGCAACAGGGAACATGGTCCTACCCAACTTTCAGCCCAGCACTGCCCTCCTCAAAAGGGGCCTCCAACCTCCCTCTAAATAGGGAGGCAAGATTGTTCATTTATCCCTACTAATACTGTATCAGTGTGTAAGCAGGAGAAAGAAACTCACGCCTTTTTTCAGAGTTGCAACTCCAAGGTCACGGTGAAAGCCTGAACACGGTCATGTATTGCCAAACAGACTTTGATTTACTTTCAGTAGCAAACAAGATATTAAAGGACAATCCTAATTACCAAGTTAACTGAAGCTCTTTAAAGAAACTGTATTTAATAAAGTAACTTTCATACGATAGTGAACTGTTTGTTAAAAATAGGAGCTACATATTTTATATTTAAAGTAGTCTTTAACTAAATTTCTTATCACATAAAACGACACTGTCCAGTGAAGGCATAGTACTTTTTCTCCTTACTACAATACTGATGATCAACCCTTAACCTATTCCCTGATCCTGTATCACTGAGTGATAAATCACAAAGGATTCAATATCTCTCTTCAAAATTAAAACTGATCTATTTAACTCTTATTACGTATCTCTAATTAAAGTTCTGATTTTTCAGCTGTAGCTTTAAACCACATGAAAACATGACAACAAGATGTAAAAACTACTAATATTTAAATGTCAAATTATTATGAAATAGCACCTTATTGACTAACTCCAGTGTGATATGTTGAAAACTATCTTGCATAAAGACATGCAATTGATTCATAGTAACTTTAATAGCATACACATATCAAAAGCCTACCATCTTTCCATGTTGCACACACAACTGTGTATTACCTGAGCAAGTTCTTTCTGTTCATTCACCAGTCTGCTACAGCTTGCTATCATCTGGTCCAATGCATAGAGTCTATCCTCAAGACCTTTAATAGCCTTCATGTTCTGATTATCTAGTTTGGCGATAGTTTGGCGACATTCTGCCAGAAAGGGTTGGATGATCCTTGGATCAAGCTAAAAAAAAAGAAATTCATTAGTATTTGACACACTGAAAGGTGATTTAAGTTAGTTAAATGAAGTTTTTTAACCTCATATATTTTCCTTTTTTTTAATCTAATGTATGACTACATCTATCATCTGTTTCAGAATTCAGAGTAAATGAGTCTGTGCATTCTATATCACAGCATGAATTTTTCTGAAGTATTGCAACCAGACCATCAGAGCAATCTGGATCCTTATAAAGGGAAGGGACACTGGTCGATTGGACATGGCGAGCTGCAGGAGGAAGAGGTGCTTAGCTGTAGCTAATGGACAGTCTGACCTGCGACAAAGCCCTTACAGCTACAATAAAAACCAATCATAAATGTGGCTCAATGGAAAGTGCAGAAGGGAGGATAGTCACAAAAAGATGCAAGAACTGCAAATCTTTCCCCACTAGATGAGTGTTTTAATTGACTACTTAAAAAAGCAGATAATTTCTAAACAACTGGAAAAGACCCCATGGAAAAACAGCATATTTGTCATACTTTTAGCTAGAGGGTTTTTTTCCTAACAGAAACACATTTTTGAAGTTGTTTCATAATATCCGAGAAAAAAAGAAGTATTTCCAGCCAAGCAAGAACTTCATGGGAAAGTACCAAAACCTAGTAAAAGCACAGAACTCCTAAGAATAAACAATAAATTATTAATGTGACAAAATACATCCAAACTCTCTGAAAACAAAAGTTAACTTTTCATATGTGATGTCCTTTGAATCTTTCTCTTTTCTCAAGTCACTTGTCCATTTTCAAGAAACAGTAACAGAAGTATTTAACCAGATTGATTTTACAGGATCATCTCCACTGCCATCCTATTCAGGATTACTCCCTAAGAGATCCTGAATTAGTCCACTGCAGCATCCACAAGAGTTTCTTAAAAAATAAAATACTAAAGAACAATATAGTAGTTTTTTTTCTTTTTACGTTCTTAAACTAATGGTGCTTTATATTTTTTTACAAAGAATGGCTATTCCTCTCATTCTTTTCTTACCTATTTCCACCATCCACTCTTTTCATCCCATCTTTATCCTAACTGCCTCTGTAGAATCCATCTCCACTTTCAGTGGTAAATACTACTGCTCTTGTCATCACTTAAAAGTATCTTCCATTTCTAGCCTCTTACTTAAGTGGCTACAACAGCCCTTGACAAAAACATCTGATTAGCTCCTACTTACCCAGTGCTTTTACTGCAGCCAAAGTTTCTGTAATTAGAAGTGCCATTTTGTAAAAACATCTAGAGGCTAGAACCATCAGAAACTTAGCAGCACTCTGTGCAACACACCAATTATCTCAAGACTACCAGTACCAAATGTCTAAACCCCTTACTCTTGTGCTTTAAGCTTTTGGGAAAATCTTACCTGAATTCAGTTTTTGAAATAAGAATTTCAATCACAAACCTTTTGTATGGTTCATATTTCCAAGAAGGAAAGGCATGGGAACAATGCAGGCAAAACAATTTAAAAAGTTAGCACCATTTTATTCTATTATTCTGTACTTTTATATTAAAGGGTCACCTCAAATGAATATTAGAAGAAAAATTATGTGGCAAAATATTTATTTAGGATTTTCTTTTCCTTTTCAGCTGCAGGCTACTTCTGTTTTCAACTAATTTTCAATCCATGGTAAGCAAAGATTCAATGCTTTGTCTGTATTGCTATCAAAACAGAGTAAATAAATGTTTTCCTAAGGAGAATCAGGAACACATTACTTCAAAACTCTGGGGGTTTTTTGTGAACCAAAATGGATCAGGAGTGATCAATCACAACTTCTCTGGTGGTGGCCAAAATACTCAGACTGAAGCACCCTCCCTACCTGCCAATTCTGCTTATGCCACAAATACAAAAAGGAACTGCATTTTTTGCAAATTCAAGCACAATTTTTTCCCATAAAAACTGACTGCAGTTACAAAACAATTACAATAATCAAAATAAAGGATTTCTGCCTAATCTTAGATAAGGCAAGGATAGAAAAGACAAGAACAAGACAGCGCCTCTAAAACATGTGATATATGTCAGCTAAGACTACATGCTGATCAAAAAAGGTAGAGTATATACTCAGCAAAAGTATTCTTAGCATTTTTGTGTCTTTTGGAACATTGTAATTTATTTAGAAACAGTTGTTTAATATCCATATCTTCAAATACTGATTTTTAGAATTTTTAGAACACATCTGTGTTCTGTTAATATTACATAGAAATTGAATTTATCATCTCTCAACCCATGTAGTGGATTCTGTTACTCTTGTTTTACAACAGTAGAAAGTATCTTATAGCATTACTGAAAAAACAGGATGGAGGACTGGCTCAGACTTCAGCAGATAGGAAGTCTTTAGCACACAAAATCAATTCTTGTTTTTGCTAAAGAAAACAACAAACTTGTAATGTCCAATCTTTTCCTTAGCCTTTTCTGCACTACTAAAATCTTAGATATCCCTTAAAATTAAGCCAAATTCTCCAATTAATTTTAAGACAGAATCAAAATATCAATGTACAGAACCAACCATACCATGATGTTCCCTACAACAGATGGGTTTTAGAAATCACTGATTCAGTCTTCCAGTCCTCCTTTACAGGGGAAATAAAGTGTCAAAGACAACAGAAATTGTTTTCTTTGCTCAATGTATGTTGTGTTGTAATAGTAGAATTATATCTGTGCAAACAAGGCTAGGCAATGTAAGAAATATCACCTACAGTGAAAGCAAAGAGAGAAGGAAAATTATAGGCAAAAGAATTTTAAAAGGTTATAATGCTCACTGATTAAAATATTAATTTTGAAAGTAAAGTGAGCACTATTGTATTCTTCCAGCAGCAGAAATACAAACTGACCGACTGGGCCCTTCTGAGCACCTCTGTATCAGCTAATAAAGAAGGCTGAGACATAGATTTATAAATCTATCCCAATTAACCATATAATTTTTTTCTATATTTTAATAAAGGCTTAACTATTTTGAGCTCAAAGAACATTGATTTTGGTCCAGAAAAATTTTTGTTTTTATTGTAAATGTAGTTTCCATGAAAAAGGCAAAGAAATCATAGTAGTGTAACTTTGCTTATACACTACAAGAAGCTTTTGGCTTTCCAAAAGAAATGGCTATTTGAAAAAGCAAGATAACATACATTCATATAATCCATGTAAAATTATGTATCTTCCTAAAGATCAAATTCTTAACATTCAAACTCATAAAACACTTTCCCCACACTTATCCCTCCCCAGTCTCTGTTCTGGTTTTCATTCACAAAGTTATCCGAGAAACAAGGCACAAAAGAGTTGAGTCAGTCACTTCAAAAGCACCTGCATATGGGAAAAAAAAAAAAAGCTGCAGCCTTCAATGTAATGCAATTTGATTTAAAAAAAAATCATTAACTTACCCTGCTCATGGAATCAAAACATTTTCTGACCAGGGATTCAACATCATTAGGTCTATCTTGACCATTTATCCAGTCTAACAAAGACACATTGAAGGAAGGCTGATCATCATTTTTCAATTCTACCGACATTTCATTGTCCTGGACAGTAGCATTTTGACCAGATTCCTTATCATCTTTTACATTTTCAGGATCTGTGCCTTCCAAAGCTGAATGTTCAACTGACTTGCAAAATGATGCTAACATTGATTTACTGTTCACTTTAGATACATCAGGATAAAGCACCAATTCAGGAGATTTCCCATCCTCAGTTTCTTCACTTTCTGCTCCTCCATGTTCAGGTGAAGACTCCAGTCTTCCTAAACACTCTCTGTAACTATGTCTTGTTAGGCACTCCAGCAGTGGTATCTTGGCCATGATAGAAACAGCAGAACCCAAGCTTTTTTTCAAAAAGTGAAAAGAAAAAACCCATCAGTACCCAGAAGCCAACATGATACAAAATCTTAGATGAAAATCACCCACAATATGAACTGCTATTCACTTTAGAATTGAGGCAGATTTTGAAATTACTTTGCTACTACCCTTTAAAATTTCTGTGCTGAATACCAACATCATGGAAAGACAGCTAAAGAAGTCAAAGTTTTTGCCCTCTTCCAATGCTGAATATGGTATCTTCTACACCTCCAAGCTTATATTGAATGAAAAAAGTGATAAACAGAGACACCCACTTACTTCTTTGTTTAAATGCACAACTGGGACTTATGTTTCCTGTTTTCATGGATATCAACAATTCTTATCAGAGCTTTGAGTGTTCTCTGACTACTTCTGCAGAGTTTGAATAGATTCTATTTGGTAAAAGCTATGAAGCTAAACTTTTTTTTTTTTAAAGACAAAACATATTTATGGTTTATTTTTTTAAGGATCCAATATCCATTTATATTCTATTAAGCAAAGCACTCATAGAAATGCCATAATACTAAAGTGGCTACAAAGATGTAAAAGGTTTTCTTTGGAGTAACACCCAGAGTTTGCAGAACACAAGTACAGACTCATAAACATACACTAGATATATATATATATCTACATAAACGTCCCCCATCCCTTTCAAAGGTATATAAATTCATTCAAAGTTTGTGCTATGACTTCATACTTTCAACACGTATTTTAATTCTAAATATCAGTTCAAGTTATTAAAAAAACAATTAATTCAAAAGTGTAAATAGGTATTTAAAAATGTTAACATCTAAATTTGTTATCCAGCTTTTTGTAGTGCACATTTGGAATGACTCCAGCTCTTAAGCAGCTGTTCATTAACAAGCTTATCTTCCACATAATTCAATACAGGTTTCTTTCTGCTGACAAATACAAGGAAAAATGTCAGTTTAAAAAAGTCACTAGCACAGAACAAAAAGAATGTTCTCCATGACACACAATCAAAGACATGCTTGATTAATCAGAATAAGCACTAGACATAAAACACTGTAAAAACTAAGTTTAAAATCAAGTAAATATGGAGAGGGAGAATGAATTTAACAGCAAACCTACTGTGTAAGTTTCAATTTGATATCATCTATGGACTGCAAATAGCTTGAATACACATTTTCAAACTTGAAAAGCAGCTTTTGGTAAGAGTATGTACAATCTTCCAAGTTGGCCATGATGGCAGCCCAGCCTTGATGCTGAAGATGTTCATCATGTACAAGACCTTCACAAAAGGAGCAAAGCTTCTTGGCAACCTCATACATTTCCTGAAAAAAACAATCAACAAAATACTAATCAGGCTGTTGCTGTAACTTTCATGCCTTTATGTTAATATCAAAAATTTAGACAGTTAGAAAGTTGTACACCTTAAAACTTCATAAAAATAACCTTTTTTTAAGAAAAAGGAAATTAATTAGATGACAAAAAAGTATGTACTATTTACTGAGAAGAGAACTCTTCATAACAGAGAGGTGAAAACTGTAGTTCCAAAACCACCTTATAAAATTATTTAAATGCTGATAGTATAAAATATTCAGGGTACACACACAAATAACAACCCTCATACTAATAATATGATAGAAAAACTGGCAATCAAGGTCCAATAAGGAGTACATTTTTGATGAGCCAAGCAGAAGCTCAGAACAAGACAATAAAATGCACAATCAGTCAGCAAAAAGCACAGGTGGATCAGGTGCAAGAAGAGATGCATGAACAAAGAGCAGGGCAAATAATTTAAGTCTTTCATTGATTAATAAACCAGATGCAACATGACAAGCAGCAGTACAGTACACAAAACTCTGGAACATACCCTGAAACTTGGCATGAGCAAACCAGTGTGGAAATTAAGTTTTCTGTTAAAAGTACTGTATGACAGAGAGGCATTTTAATGCCATAATAGGGTGAGAATTTACTGCCCCACTTGGCAAAATTAAAACAGAGGTCTACATATGGCAATTACCAGATCTTAATAATCATGTACTAACAGCAGTGCCCATTATAATCAATTCCAAAGTTTCAACTAGTAGGAAGAGAAACTATTTTAAGTTTAGTAATATAAGAAAAAGCCTGTTCCCCTCAAAGAGCCTATCAGAACATCAAAAAGTAACAAAAAGGCATACAATCAATCCTTCAGCTCAAAACATTACCAGCTACAGACTCCTTGGAAAATACTTTCCTGTGCACACCTGTACTTCAGGTTTTAGTATCTATCTAACCTATAAGAAAAAGGTCTTTCCACTTTTTGCAGATTGAGCATGCTGTTAAACCAGGACTGAAACACAACTCCCCTGTGCCATCATACATGTGAGAAAATCATGCATGGAAAAACAAGTTATACAAAATACAGTGAGAAAGCAGCGTTAAAAACCTAACAGATCCGTGTATTTCAGAATGCATTTGCTGCTGAACACATGGTTAGCAGCATATATGCACACTCAAAAAAATTTAGGGACCAACAACACTTAAATTCTGAAATAAACCACAAAACTGCAAGGCATTTTTAACAAACATTTCACAATTCATACTGAAAGTTATGATCATCCTCCCTGTTTCAGAAGTCCAAGTCTTGTTTCAAGCAGCATGACAAAATTCTACTGTCCTTCAATATTCACTGATAGCTAAGCTATCAGCAGATAAACGATGAATATTCTATACAGTTATATCAGCAACTGCAACAAAATCCTAGGTTGTTAATACAAATTCCTATCACTTTGTAGTAAAGGTGGTATTTCTTTTTTTGTTTTCTGAACTTTGGCAGCCTCCTGTGCATGCGAGAATGATGACTTCCAGTTTGAAGAGAATGGTTATTTTAATTGCTCCAGGAACTCTTGCTTCCTAAGTCAAAAATCAACCAATAACACAAATGGAATGGTATCCAGACATTGCTGAAATCTGCAAGTCATTTTCTTCAGACTATCCCCAGTTTGGCTGTACAATTTAAATGTACATAAACCGACTAATGCAATATTGACTTGAACATTTGAACTTTTTTTACTGTCTTAAATTGACTTTGTATACAAGTTATTCAAAGGCAAATTGCACCGCATATAAAAAAAAAGCAGAATTACTGCTTCCTCAGTTATCATATTAAGAACCAAAAGAACAGGCTGTTTTACCCTAAGATATACAAAAAAAGTATACCAAGAATATGAAACTGAAAAGGTAACGGAATGTCTCTGCTGCATTCTAACAAACATCCTGGAAATGTACACAAACAATTTACTTTCAGCTCACAAAAATTATTCTCTCTCAAAGTCAACCTTCCACCAAATGAGGAGCCATACCACTCCAAACCACTACAAGCCATAATTCCAGAAGTAAGAGAATATACAAAAACACACATTTGTTTCAAACAGTTTAAAACAACATAAGCCACCTACAAAATCAAATCTAATCATAGTATTTTTATGCAGCTTCTCCAGATGATTATCAACCAGACACAGTCAAGACCGGACCCAGCTGTTTCGTTAAATGCCCTGAGTAGAGGTTTTTGCCAGTTCTATTTTCCTTTGGACAAGCTCACTTAGCACAGTACAGCTCATGTGTTTAACACGTTAAAGTATGCACTAGGCTTCATATAACCCAACTTTCCACCCTGAGACATATCTTAGCACAGTACAGCTCATGTGTTTAACACGTTAAAGTATGCACTAGGCTTAACCCAACTTTCCACCCTGAGACATACTCTTAACTAGTGGGCAATGTTTGCTTTTTCAGCTAGATCCATTTATTGTGTTCACAACAGAAGTCAAAAGTTACAAGCTAGAACTGCCCTATGAAGCTTTATTATATGTCATTTTTGACACTCATTTCAGAACCTAAGTGTTGCTAATTTAAGATGTTCATTTTAACAAGCTTGTTTTCCCAGAAGGAAAACAGAAATTACAAGTAGAAATAAAAACATCCTCCCAATTGAGATCACTTCTTACACAACTGAAAACCAGTGCTGACACTCTCTATCTAAGAGTCTAACCTGTGGCAATTTACTCAAATTTAACTATAACAGGAGCTCCTATCCCAGCAGTCTGGCTCCTAGAAAAGCAAGGGTGAACAGTATTTCCCAGAGTAGCAAATTATTATTTGTTAATTTTTCAGAAACTTTGTAACAGAAGGACATTCTACTAAGTGTCAGAATCTCTTATATAAACAGATACACGCTCAAAGGAACTATTATATAAAAATACCCCCAGGTCATCTCAGTATGCAACCAGGTATTCATTGTCAGACGAGCTGCAGCTTCTTAATGTATACACAGGAGATGCAGACATTAAAATAAAAATCCCCTTATGAAAGCCATCATTAATATTGCTCATAAGTAATCTCAGTCATAAGCATTGAAACATACTATGTCTCTCAGAGGCAAAATATTTTTTTTCCTGAGCTAACTCTGAGACCAAAATTCATTAGCTAAGTCTCTTTCAAGTAACTTATCCATATGCTAATAGACTACAAATCAGATTGTACAAATGAATAGACATGTTTCAGGGCACATATGCAAGGTATTACAACAGCATCCTATATTAACATCCTCTCAAAGTTATTTTCACATGTGCCAAAGAAATTCTGTCTAGGTGGTAGGAGGCAAACAGTAGAATTATGTCAGCATGGCATGCAACTAGAGTCCACAGACACACAGCAGTGCTTTTGATGCTGGTTTCTTCAGCCATATCATAAAATAAGCTCATTACATTAAATAGTAAAAAATATTACTCTGAATACAGGAGGTTTCAAACAGACGGTTCTAATGAAGGTCAAACTACACGGAGGAACTATTTGTGCACATGCCAAAACTGTTTCAGACTTCTACGATACTAAGCAGATACTAGTGCATACAAGAAGAACACTACATTAAACCAATATTTCATTTGTATTGTTTTAGTCATCCTGCTTTCAAAATGTGAAAGCACACAGCAAAAAAACACAACAGAGAATTTGTTTTGCATCATTTGGAGTATGTATGTAACTTAACTTTAACTATTTTCTTTAAAGTTATTTAATTAAAAGCTACACAAATGTATCTTTCTTATCTTGCCATCACTTCTGAAATAAACCTTCAGGCGATGTGGCTTGTTCTTCCTACATGCTGTCTACTTCCATAGACAACATTTTTGTGAGAGATCTCAAGCTACTTTAGAAGGAACTACATCAATTTGTTTTATATAACTGTATGGCTCTATACAAGAAAGAATTAAGCAGCTCTCTGCTAAATGAAGTCTAAAACCTGAATTATATCAAGCACAGAAGTAAAGGCCTGCAATCCAACATATGTTTTAATGTTTCTCAGTAAGGTTGCCAGCTCCAGCACAGAAAAGGAAGCCTGCCTAACAACAGGCTTGCTTTTGTCATTGACTATTCACAGACACACTCAAGTCTTACTGGCAGACACCCAATGGTTCACAGAGCACAAAAGTTAACTTCAGTTGCCTTGTAGGGCTACATTCATCCTACAGAGGTACAGCAGCATACCTAGAACACCAACTGCCTCACTGCACCACTGGAATGAGGGCCTAAAAGAGCAGCACTGCCAGAACATGAGTACCAAGACCCTGACTAATCCCCACGTGCTGTTACGTTGAATAGTAAATAATGACATCTTCACCATCCAATTTTTCAAGAAATCCACAGGGCCACCAGAATGCATTTAATCTTTGGCTGGGTGTTGTAACAGAGTGTGTAGCTGAATTATTTCCCTTGAGAATCGCAACTTAAATTTAGGTAATTCTTCTGATGAAGAATCTTCTTATAATGAATTGTTTTCTAGGTTTCAATCAAAAATCAGTAGAAGCAATAAAGTATGTTTTATTTAAAGCAGAAATTAACTGGTGAAGTATTTAGGATTCATTTCAAGACTGTCTCTGCATCCTACTGCCATAATTCTGCTCATCTGAATGAGCAAAATCTGACAAAGGCCTGTTTGGCCTAAGTGGTCTTTGGACTTACCTCTAAAGAACAAAAGTTCTCAGGAAATGCAGGGTTCTTTCCATTCTCTAAAACCCTGTGGTAGAAGGAAATAAATCAAAGTTCTCTATTGCCATGTGTCTGAAACCCTGTAAAAGGGACTCCTTACAGGTTTCAATCACCATAAAAATCAACTTCAGACCAATCAAAATGATCCTTGAAAGTAAAATTCCACAAACTTACACACTACAACAGCAGATAAATGCTTCCACAAGGAACTGTTACCTTGTTTACCAAAATTAGTAACTAAGACCAATATCTCCAATACATACATATATATGTATACATTCATATAACATGAACCTACTAA